TGTCTGTGCTCTGTGCCTTCCCTGGAAGTACTTTTTTAGTCCATAGACAGAAAAAAGTTGAAGGCCACCGCTCTGCGCTGACAGATGTTAAACAAACCTCTCTTTCTCCGTAGATGCAGTTCGCGAGATGATTCTTGTTTTCTGGGCTTTCTTCTGATTATCAGCCTCTTTCTCCCAGCTGCAGTTCGCCAGCTCCTTTCCAGGGGCTGAGTGCAGCTGGGGGATGGCTTGGCAAGCTGTATAACCACACCTTTCTGCCTTCTTTGATCTGCCATTCACTTTTTCTGCCTCATTTAACAAGAGGTATAATCTCTGTGCAGCTAACAGAGAGAGTCTTACACAGGCATTTTGAGAATCTCACTTAGGTAGTATCAAGATGGCAAAAATACTACAACAGCCTTTTCCTGGAGGTTTCCCTGCTTTACATGTTACTTATTTTCTGGGATAACGCATTTGGATGGCTTGGTATGAACTTACAAATATAAAAGCAGAGTGCTACATTGGAAGAGTATTAGAGGCTATTTGCAGTGCTGTGTGTGACAGGGATGAATGCAGGGAGGCAAAGTTCATGTTTGCTCAGTGTCCTCAGGCAAATGGTTATGTGGCTGTGGGACTAGAGGAAGTTCTTGTAGTTCTTTAAAAGTTAATCTTAATCCACTTTTGCCACACATTAATTTACATCAGTCTTTACCTTTTCCTAATACTGTCTTATTATTGTAATAGTAATAGTAAATAGTTTAAACATGCTATGTCCAATAAACGCTCCGGCAATCTGACTGATCTCTTGCACGGGTTTTATGGGAGAGGTGGGCCAATCCCAGTGCTACCGTTATGTCATCATCAGCAGTATTACATAAAAATGTCCTTAAGGGATGGAAGTGCACAGTGAGGCTGAGCAGAGCACTCCTGTATCTGCCCAGTGCCTGGGGAACCGAAATGACTGGCTTTGGGGCGGTAAATCCAACCACTACAAGATTTCCTGGAGAAATTTGCAAAATACAGAAGATAAATGTTTGCTAAACACTGGTGCTGTGGAGAACTGTGATATGTCATTACCAAAGTAATTAAGCCTAAAACTAATACAGCTTTACTTTTCAGCCATCTCTGAGATAATAACATCCTGGCGCCTCCTTTCTTCCCAGCTGCGTTTGCTGGGTGGTGTCAGGCCACATTGCCCAGCTCGTAAAGTGGATGTAATATTGCAGTCCACTTCTCACTGAACATCCTTAATATTTTAACCCAATTGAGAGCTCTTTGCTGAAAGATACCACACAGCAGGGAGCTAAACATTATAGTGCTACTGCACTAAAAGGCTTTTTCTGGAATATTTTGTCTGATTGATCAGGATCCTCAGCTCAGGGACAGCCTCCTGTGCTTTCACTGCAATGTCTTGGTATTGTTCCTTTCTTGCTTGAAGTCAACCTGTTTCCCGTGTCTTAAAGCAGCGCAGTTCTTCCCTTTCCTTGCAGAATAATTAACAATTGAGTGTAAGGGCCAAATTCAGTGCCTGAAACCTAAATTCTGCCTAACCCAGTATCTGCACAGCAGACAGAGCATCTCTGCTTGTTGGGGGGCACAGGCTGAAGCAGGCAGTGACTGCCATCCCAGCTCCTGCTTTCTCTCTTGCTGCCAGAGCTGATGCCCGTGGCGAGTGCCAGCCCACCCAGCCAGGCTCCTGCATGGGCACCAGCACTGGCAGAGCCCAGAGAGGAGCCAGGAGCCATGGACGGCTGCTGCGTGTCTCCACTGGCCCTTCCCAGCTCTTCCCTGTGGAGGGATCGCTGCAGGCTGGTGATGCTCTGACAGGCAGTTTGGAACTTTTCCAGCTGCTGGTGGTGAGCAACGGAGTGACGCTTTGCTTCCAGGAAAAGACAATTTCACTGAGTGAAATTGCTGAAACGATGGCACCCGAAGGCCAGTCTCAGATGGCAAACCCCAGCCCGTGGGCCGTCCTGGCTGCAGGCACTGTTCCCTTGGACAGCACTGCTTTTGACCCCAAACCAGAACCAAACAGTATTGTGAAACAGCAGAGACCTCTGAAACAAAAAAAATATCTGTCACCACCCACACAGTGCTGTGAACTGTGCCAGATCTCCCCCCGAAATGCAGCATTCATGCCTGAGAAGCTAAATCTGGAGGGAGTTTGGCTCTTCCATTTACTTGTATACTTTTGAGAAAGTGTTATTCACCGGAGGATATATCTGCACTTGGTAGCTTGGGCCCTCCAGGGTAAGAGTGAGCTGTGTCTCCCGGTGGGGAATGTAACTATGTGCTGGGGTAGGAATAGGGGGGATGGTGGAAACCACAGGGAAACAGCAAACAGAGTTAACAGGGTAATAAGTGAGCTCCTTGGCACTTTCCTACAAGAGCAACATATTTCACAATAAAAGCCCTGGGAGGCCTTTCTTCTCTTTTATTGGAATGTAAAATATGGTCCTAATAAACACTGGGTGTTTCACAGAAGACGGCTGGACAGCAGAAGCTCATTTTGGGGAGCGTAGCCCTTCCTCTCTCCTTGTTCCGGTGTCTCTGGGAGCTGCTCTCGCAGCCCAGACTGAGCATCCCACTGCCCAGGGGGAGACCCCCGCACCCCTCCCTGGATCTCCCTCTCTGCCTGCATGGCTGTTGGGGCAGGACAGGGACTGAACCATAGTCTCTCCCTGATGGGTTTAGCCTTAAACGGGTTTGCTCAAGAGCAAGCAGCAGGAGAGCAGCAGCTCCCGGAGGAAGCAGGCTGTGCTCCTGCCGCTGGCTCACAGGAAGCCAGGCTGCAGGATCCGAGTTTCCCAGGAGAAGCTGTGACAAAAGGCAGGTCATCGTGCCCAGCTTTCCTCCATGACTTCAGGGTAGCAACTTGCTTTTATTAGAAAGCAGAAGCCGAGCGCCTTATCTAATTCCAGGGCCCGGCGGCTGGAGCCTGAGGAAAGGCAGCTGCTTTGTGGAGAGACTGCCAGTAAAATAATAAGATTGAAAACCCAGTATACATTTAATGCACTTGGGAAAATTTCTGTGCCGCAGATGCCTTGTGTGAGGTGCTTGGATCAGAGATGCATACAGGGCAGAGGGAAATTTCTGATGCATAAAACTCCTGGTGAAGCTTTAGTGCCTCAAATCCAGCACTCCTCTGAAAACCCAGTCTTAGATGTCTCAGACTGAGAATGCAAAAGTTGAAATCCCCTTTTTATCTCCCCCACTTAGTCAATGCTTTTGACATTAAATGTAAATCTCTCAGCGCTGATGCCCTTCCCCTCTGCTGGGATGGGGGATGTAGCTCACACCTCCATGGGGGGTGTAATCCAGGGCTCCCTACTTGTCCTTCTCCCAGGACAGGGAAGGGGAGCTCCAAAGTGTTCCTGAGCTCCGCACACCCAATGGGAGATGCAGATGATATTTTACTTCTCCTTCTCCATAGCAAATACAGAGAGTCACCGAGCCGAGGATTTGCAGGAATTGTCATCAGCTGTATTGAAGAATGATGCAGGGCAGAATATTCCTCCCAGGATTTCCTGCCTCAAGCTCTCAATTTATACCTGATATTTCAAAGCCGTCTTTAGAAAAATACCTCATCTTGACTGTGGAGGTAGCAAGTCTACCCTAGAAAAATTTTCATATGATGATTGTGAACTAAAGGTGCACTCTGTATTTCTCATCCATCAGAACAGCTCCCTTGGCCTGTCACCAGCACCTGCTGCTCACCCGGGCTGAAATTTATACTGGTGCAAACTGGAGCAAAGGAAACGAAAGAGGCTCACTACTGATGCTCTAAGCTCTGCAGCAGACAAATTAGTGTTCAAGGCTATGCCATGTCCACATTTATCACATTAATAGATAGATCGTAAACATGTCTCTGTACAGAGTCTTGGATTAATTCCTGTGGAGGGCAACCTAAAGGATAAATTGGATTAAATAAAATCAGATTTGTACGGCCATAGGCTGCTGGATATCTCTTTTAGTCTGCCCTGCAGATGCTGGATGTAATGCTTTGGATCCCTCATGGAGTTAAACCGGTGGTGTTCCATGCCCATCAATAGGGTGATGCTGGTTTACACCAGAATAGGATCCGATCTGTAGCACTATGCCTGTCCACCTCACATTAGGTTTCATACTGCAGTCAGATTGTACCAGATTTGTTAAAATACATTTGAACATACAAGAAAATGGACTAGGGGCATGGTGGCCCTTTTCCCCGGGGCAAGGAGGACTCGGAGCCTCCCTCCACTTGGCACGTCCGATCCCGACATGTCTGCCCACACAGAGAGGCTGTGATGGCATGAACAGGTCTTCGGTCCAACAGGAGTTTTGCGAGGCAGCCCACGAGTGAGGAAAATCTGCTGAAACACCAGAAGGGCCACGGGGTCTATCCTGGAGTGCAGAGTGGCCCATGCGCTGCACGTCCCAGCTGTGGGGTTTGGTTACCCTCCAAGGTTTTCCTCCTCGGGCAGGTAGTGGTTTGTGGCATCAGGTCACAACGTCACCAACCTTGTGTCATGCCAGCTTGGCCAGCTGGTTCATGGGGGAGGAAATAAGACTTGGGTGCTACCACATCCCTGCCCAAACTCTGCCCCTCGGTTGCTCAGGGACATTAATTATGAAGGAGGCTTTTGCTCCTCTGCTGTATAATTATGCAACGCACAGTCCAAGCCTTAATATAGCTCTGAGTGAACTCCTTTCGGTTTTCTCCTGTTCTCGGAAATGAGACTCAATCTTGGACCAAACAACAGAGCAGCCTCCTAGCAATAAAATCTGTACTGAACACAAGGTGGACCCAGTGCCTGGGCTGGAGTTGCTGCCAAGGAGCTCTTGCAGGAGGTCAGTGTCTTGGCACATCTGTTGCCTTTGGTTTCTGAACTCGGGGTAGCAAGTTCAGAAAACTACACCTTTTCCCACGGCAGTCAAAAAGTTGTGTTTGCAGAGGAGTGAGGCAGGGTAGCAGATTTTGGATCATGCAGTAGAGGCAGCATAGGAGGAGGGAGGATGCTGACTGCTGTTTTGGTTCTGGTTTAGAAGCAGCTGATGATCACCGGGGCATCAATTTCAGCAAAGAGTGTGCTGCCCTCCCCGCCGCTGGGGCTCTCCAGCGCATGGTAGCCTTGCCGAAAAATTGCTGCTCTCCTGGTGCGCCCCAGCCCCCGGAGTGCGAGGACTGCCAGGATGTGCTCCTTCCTGCAGAAACCAAACAAGACCTCGCTCAGTCCTGGCAAGCAAAACCAGCCTAGAGGTAAGCAACCAACAACCATGCCGGAGATGGAGCAAGGCCATGGCAAAGTGCCGGGGAACGTCCCCTTGCCCCGTTGGAGAAGCCACCAGGACGGGGTCTGCAGCTTCCGGAGGTACCGAGCCCATGAGCATAAGCTCCCACCATCCTGCGTAGCAAAATGACCCCTTCCTGCTGCTGATGCTTCGGGGAATTTCCTCCTCCATCTCCACACACATGTGACGTCTTTTGCAAATTTTCCTGAGAGGCTGCAGACCTTTTATTTAATGATTATTTTGAGTTGAGTAATGGAAGTGCTAATATTTAGGAAGCTGACAGGCACTAATTAGATTAGAGCTAGGAAAGCCAACTTGGAAACATACCCTGTTCCAGTAGTCTCAGTATATACAAATTCAGCAATGTCTCCTGAGAGCTCAGGGGAAGAATTAACAGAGACCTGAACAGGAAGCAACACAGGTCCAGCAGGTTCTGCCTCGTTTTCCAAACTTAATTGTTAAAAATAATATTACTCAACAATGGAAAGGAAATAGGTCAACCAAGAGGATGAGCCTTAAAACCTGGCTTGGGTCTAAGGCTAATGATGAAAAAGTACCACAAATCACAGCCTTGTAAAGGGCTTTTCTGCCTGGAAAATTGTTTTCAAATAGCTAAGCCTGACTAGCCATCATTTACCTCCCCCATCCTTCCCAGAACAGGCACTGCCTCCTTCATCAGCTTAGTCTGGCCACTGGGATTAAGGCTTTATTTTTGTAGGATAGGTGTGTTCACCTAGGAAATTACTCAGGAACAATTATTCTTTTTCAAGTCCATGTCTTGAATTTCCCCACACAGATAAGCCCGAAGCATATCTGACCCATTCAAGTTAAATATACTTATGAAAAATTTTGAGCCTCAGTTTTGGGGAGAGGAAAATATATTTAATGTCATTTTTTTCTGAATATTTGAGGGTCCACTTCAGTGTTCTGAGCCATTTGTTAAATTTATGGTTTACTTTGATTGTATAAATCAGTTTATACTGATTTATATAATCCAGCAGGAACTGTGTAACCCAGTGCAAAAACCTTTGGTCTTTTTCTGAAATGACTCTGATGATTGGATTTTCTTGCAAGCTGTTACCACTAATATTCCTTCTCAATGGTTGGTAGAAGAGCTGTAGAAGGGGAGGTAACTTCTGATACGCAGCTGCTTAGCCATGCACAGAGTTAGTCACTTTGTTTACTTTCCCAGTAGCCTTAAATTTTGCAGATGCTGCTTTGGAACAGCAAATGGAAAGTACAAAAGAAAGAATTTGTAATTTATTCCAAAATTTAGTAGTTGTTTTGAGCCTCTTTCAGAAACTGCAGATGAACTGTGTCAATGTCTGCTGCACTTTGAGGTCTGAGCCTGGGAACAGGAGACAAACTGTTTGCTCCAAAGCTGGAACCTGCAAATTGGCAAGCTGGGCTAATACTGGTGATGCACTGAAAGGCGACCTGGAGCTTTACAGTGAAACAAGGTTCATTTGGAGCAATAAAATGGTATCCAGTGATAGGACATGTGGGAATGGTTCAAAGCTGCGTCAAGGGAGGTTTAGACTTTAGGAAGCATTTCTTTACTGAGTGGGTGGTCAAACACTAGAACAGGCTTCCTAGAGAGGTGGTTGATGCCCCAAGGCTGTCAGTGTTTAAGAGTTTGGGCAATAATGCCCTTAATAACATGCTTTAACTTTTGGTCAGCCCTGAAGTGGTCAGGCAGTTGGACTAGATGATCGCTGTAGGCCTTTTCCAACTGAAATATTCTATTCTATTCTATTCTATTCTATTCTATTCTATTCTATTCTATTCTATTCTATTCTATTCTATTCTATTCTATTCTATTCTATTCTATTCTATTCTATTCTATTCTAAAATGAAGAGGCTTTTGCGGTAACTTGTGTGCATTATAAGATCCAGCAGACAGGGTTAAAAAGAGAAAGGATACAGCCATCAATTAAAATAAGGTGGGATTCCCCCTGTTGCCAGCACCTTGACCTCTGACGTGTGGCTACCAGCAGAGAAGAGAAGTTGAAGAGCTTGGCCAAGGCACAGGGCGAGCTGGCGCTGTTTGGGATGGAGCCCAGCAGTTCTGGCATCTGCCATTTCACGCACCTGATATCTGGATAATCCTGACACAGCTCCTTGACGTACTCCTTGATCTTGTCTTTTTTCTTCTCCCCAATGATATTGGCGATGTGGTGTATGGCGGGAAGGAGCCAGTCAGAGTCAGAGCCCTGTGAATGAGGAGGCATACGGGGATGTCAGGGGGAAGCACAACACCTGCAAAATGCTTGTTACCTGCAGGGCAGAGCACAGCAGCGGGTTGCTTTTACTGGTGTAAGACAGTACTGCTGCAGGCAGGACAGGCTGCCCTCGGGCGGGCAGGGTGCTGCTGGGTGGGCAGCAGGGTGCTGGCCGAGGCAACACTGGGTGGCAATGGCAAGGCACCCCCCGCAGCTCCACCGGGGCCTGACTCTGCACTCCCCGATGCTCACGAGCACCCCAGTGAGCCAGACCCCGAGCAGGGCGTTGTGGCTGTGCTCCAGCAGAGCAGTGGATGCCAGAGCCTTCACCCCCTACTGCGTAATAGTTTCGTGTGCCTCACCACTGAGAGGGATCTGCCTCAGCTAAGGAACCACCCCGGTGGGGTTCAGTGCCCCACACACCTGACCTTCTGGAAAAACCAATGAATTCAGCTTTGGCTTCCCTGAAAATCCCAGGCTGATGTTGCCTAGCCACAAAACATGCAAACAGCTGCAATTTTCTCCCCATCACCCTCCTGTATGCAGACTGTGTGCCCGGATGGACCCTCTCGCTGGAGTCATCTCCATGAGCTGTGCCCAGGGCAGGGATCCTTTGGAGGCAAGGTGTATCCCATGGCCCAAGGGAACAGCCCCAGGAACAAGTTGCCACAGGATGAGCTTGATTCTACAGCATGTAACCCACCCTATGCAAAGTGCCCGTGGACCAGGCGCTGCAATCGGAGAGCTGCCAGCTGAGCATGCACAAGAGTGCAGAGTACTACTACTACTGCAGAGTAGCTGCCAGGCTGGAAGTCCACACCGTGAACCTGCAGTAACTACCTTGCTTGCTCTCTTTTAAGCACTTTTACATTTCTTGAGGCTTGCCCTCCTCGAGAGCCTGCCAGCTCGGTCCCCGGGAGGCCAAGTGTGGACACTGCACCTCCAGGAATGGGGCAACTGGGGATGCCAGGAGGGAACTCACATACCTGACCGATGAGCGTATTATTAAGGATTCTGGCTTCCTGGTTCATCTTTTCACTCACTTGCTGCCGTGTCTCCCCATTCATTTTCCGTCTGGGTTTGATGACCTGCATGATGTATTCCCTCACCACGTACTTATGAATGTCACGTAGAAGCTCCTGGTGAAAAAAAGGAAACCTCATGGTTTTTCCGTGGTTCCCTTGCAAAGCCGCAGCAGTGAGAGAGGGCAGGGGAAGCCCTTGGGTCTTTAGCAGGAGCCCAGGGCATAGAGGAGATGCCTGAAGGCAGCGCACTGGCCAGCACATGCTGCCCGGGCCAGCTTCGCTGAAGGGAGCCGGTGGCTCGCAGCCCCTCGCTCCAGCACAGAGCGATGGCAGTGCCCAAGGAAATGCCATGGAAATACTCCTCACCCTGAAGCCGCCCCTGATTTTGTGTTGGCAGTTTGGCTCCTCAGTAACAAAGGGGGATATTTAGGATTGTTTTAAAAGTATCTTTTGATGGTGCTTGCAGATTTTAAATGTAGAGCTGTTGTCACCTACCCATTTATTTCACAACTGCATAGATGTGAAAGGAGCATATAAGCCTGCAACTCATGAAATTATAATGTTCAGTGGCAATGTTCACCAAAGCTTTTTGTTCCTCTTTAAAGAAATCAGTTCCCATATTTAAACTAGAGAAATGAAAAGTGTTGCTTATTCTCATGTGGAAGTACGATAATAGCTGAGCTCCCCAGCATCAGCAGTCCCCACGGTTATAAACAGCACCTGCCACTGGAGAGGAGCCTGCAGGTCAGACCACAGCCTGCAAATGACAGTGGGACCCCCCCCAGCATCACTGTGCCTGGGCGTGGGACCAGCCACCTACCTGCCCCATGGGCTCCCTCATGTGCTGCAGGTGCTCGGAGAACTGCGAGACCGCCGACGCCAGCGAGTCTGGCCTTTCTGTTGCCAAAATCCAGTCCTTGGTCAGGATTTTCTTAAGGAGTGGCTGAAAAAAGACAAACTTACTGATGGCACTGGTAATAATCAGACTAGCTGATGTACTAGCCAAAGCCACCCAGCCATCTGCCTGCTCAGGTGGCTCAAACCAAAAAGCACAGAGTGCTGACAGTGCACCCACTCTGCGTGAAGACACACCAGGAGCATGGAGCAGGCTGGGTTTCTCTCTCCACCCCAGGGAATTCAGACCCCCATCTCCCATATCTGGGTGAGCGCCCCGATGCAGGCAGATAAAGCATCACTCCCTGAGCAGGAGATGCTTTGGCATTAAAGGCTTACTTGGGACACCTCATTTCCTTGCTCTGTGCCTTCTTCTAATCCACCAGCTATGTTTCTGTAGGTAAATAAACTGGTATCCCCACTGTATGGATGAAGAAACAGATGTAAATGCTAATCAGAGGAAACTCGGGCATGGCTAGAACAGGCTGTGGCATGCAACCATGTATGCTAGTGTTACATGGGTTTACACCAGCTATGGCCATGACAAGTCACTTGGTAGTGAATCTGTTGGAAATTAGCCCAGTAATCCATCACCTGTCCAGCCTTTTCCACAAGGAAATCAAGCTCCTCTTGCTCACAGCACTTGCAGGGGGCTGTCTGTACTCCCTGGAGACCCACATGTTTGCACGAGGTCTCACTGGGATTTTCCTTCTGCTCATTGCTCTGATGGTGGTGGGAGAATAGCAGCTGGGAGCATCCCCAACTTGATGCCTCATGGACAGTGATGACGTGGGTGTGATAGCACTGTTTCCCATCTGCCTTGGGTACAAGGTGCTCTGATCAAGTGTCGCCAGAGGGCTATTTCCCTTGTTGGGTCCCTAGAGCTAATGTGCCTCCACATAGAAACACAGCAATATCTGCTAAAGGCTTCTGGTGGCACCTGGAAGAGACTCCCCTAAGGGCCAAATTCAAAATATTCCTTCTCTGGCACATCCCCTTTGTACTTTTCTCCTCTTAGCTCTCAGGATCTCTGTCTCTAGACTCCCGGCAATCTCTTTCCCAATTATTTCCCCTACTTGTGCCCTCCTGCAGTGCTCCCACCCTGCTGGAGGGCTGTTTAGAAATGCTTTGCCTCGGCCACTCTCAGTTCTCACGGCATTTCGACTCTCTTGCTCAATGCCTTGGCTTGACTCCTTCCTCGCCTGCCCCTTAGGCTCCGAGACAAGCTCTGCAGTCACTGGAAAGTCCCCTTGGCCAGGCGGGCTTGGCTTAGATCGGAGCAGTTACGTGACTGTCTTGGTTTCTAAAGTTATGCTTGGTGATTTAGAAAGTGAATTAGGATGAGTAAAAAGGGGTGGGACCAAAGGCTTAATTTCCCCCATCTCTTGTGTTATACCAGCTAGAGCTAGTGGACCCCCAGCCAGCTGAGAGCAGAAAGCCCCGTCTACAGCACCTGGGAAGCACAAACTGCATTGCAGCACGTTGCCTTTTAGGCCTCAACACAAGTCAAGCTGATACCAGAGCTTTATCAGCCAATACCAGAGCTTTACATCCTCACACTGAAAGAATCAGTCTTTCTTCACCATGGAAACAGCCTGGAAAAATCACCTCTACCAGAATGAACTCTGTCCTGTCTGAAGAGGTTGATAACAGACCATGATGACAGATCTACAAATAAGTAAGAGTAAATCAAAGTCCTGAAAAATCCAAATGTTTTGATAGAAAGAAAAATGTCCCATTGGTGGTGTCCTGCTGACTTCCCTGGTGCTTCACTATGGGTAAGGTTTCCCCCCACTGCTTTGAGATGCTGGAAGCCACTAAATACCCTTTTCTTTTGGTTGCCGTTGTACTAAAATAAACAGCTGGACAAATATATCATTGTCCATAGTGAAAAACTCCCAGGATGCTGGACGTGTCACTGCAAAATGAGGTCTAGTTGGTAAAATAGGGAAAGGGCAACGGCCCTCAGCTTCTGCGGTGATCCTGCACATAACCCTTATGTTTAGGAAATAATGTGGCCAAGATCCTCTTACCTGTGCTTTTGTTCTTAATTTATTTAAAAAAATATTTGTGAAGTTCCTTGTCAGAGTTGCCAAAATCTTCTGCAGTTCCTCAGTGTTGACTTTAAACACTCTTTCTAACCCTGACCTAGAGACAGAGAGAGAGAGAGCACCAGTGGTTTAATATTAAAATGTAAACTATTACACTACCCTAAGCATTTTAGCCAGACTGGCATCTTGGGCGTTATTTTAAAATAAATTTGTGTATCCAGTACTTCCTCTTGGAAACACTTAATGGGTCAAAATAATGACTCTTTTTGCATAATCCTATACACTGAAAATTAATCGCAACTGAGTAACTGCGTAAAAACCCATCTATTTCCTCATCAGGTGGGATGGTTCAACCACGTGGAGTGATTGCGCAGGCTGGTTACTTTTTCACTTGAGCAACACTTCTGCTGAATGATCTGCAGGTACCTGAGAGAGCACCAAGGGGCTTTTGGAGAAGGGAAAGCTGTCGACCCTGCGTCCCCCAGAGCCTGGCTGACTCACTCCACGCAGCGTCTATCGGCAGCAGCTGGGATGGTGAACTACGGAGGTGGAAACCTGTGGGGTCTCCTAGGGACAGTGCATACTTCTGCAAGGTTTCATGCTAACGAGGAAGAAAACACAACTACTGAGAAGCTAATGAAATCCCCAGCAGTATGTGTGGGCTTCAGGGGCATTGTGAGCTCCTGGCTTTCTTCTCACTTTCCATCCCTGCCCCGCTGTAACATGCTCTGGGGGGAACTGAGGCAGCACCACCAAAATGCTAGTGGTCCCTGAGCTTCCCTGGATGTGCCACATCCGCTGCTGTGACCACAGAGCACAGCAGGTGCTACCTGCCACTGCCTGGTAGCTAGTTTATATGTCTGAGGCTGCCCAGGCAGGACTACAAAACACCTAACAGCATCCTTCTCACCCCAGGCTGGGGCTCAGGTCCATAACTCCTGCTGAACACCTGAAGCCTGCATCCACCATCCACAAAATCATGCTGTTAGGGCACCTACCTCTGCCCAGCAACTCATCACTCCAGGCTGACAAATATTTAACTTGACACAGGAATAAACCCAGCGGAGCCAATCCACCACCCAAACGCCTGCCAGCTCCCTGCCCGGGGCTGGCTTCTCCCTTCACCACCTCTCCAGTCCCCGGCGGGGAAGGGGAGAGCACTTTTCCGCAGGGGCAGGAGGAGAGAGAGAAAGCCGGCTCCTTGGCGAGGTTAGCATTGCTGGAGAGACCGTGCCATCTAGAGACTTCCCGACGGTAGTGCTCGCTGCGGCTGGAGCCGTCGGCTCCTGTGAGACACTGCAACGCAAAATCCTCTGCATCCCCTGAATAATATTTGGCATTTAGCATCCCTGCCGCAGGCGGTGCCAGGCAGCGATGCAGCAGCATCGGCTGGAGACAACAACCAAGCTTCCCAGGTGTTAGCTGCGTGTTGGCTGGCTCAGTTGGCCTCTGAAGCACCACATCTGCATGGCAGGGACGACCCCAGATGTTGAAGAGCCCCCAGGCCTTGGTGGGCAGTGGTCCTGCGTGGCTGCAGACCATCCGCTTGGGTCAAGTGCCGTGCGAACAGCCCCGGTTTCCCACAGCACTGGCGCTGGAGGGCTGCGGCGGCTGTGTGGGCAGATGCGGGGCGGGAAGCACAGGGTCACCATGTGCCACAGCACTGGGCTGATGGACCAGACCCTGGGACACATGGTAACTGGCACCATCCTACTTATGGAGAGAGTACCCCTCTCCTGAAAGTACTTCTTAATAGCCAGAACTGGTGGGCATACCTATTTATCAGAGGCCTTTTCAACGCATGGCTTTAAATAACCAGTTCTTAACACATGCAAAGCCCTGGAAGTTCCTCCTGCCAGCAGCCATGGCAGGGGTTTATTTGCAGGTTGAGTGCTTTCACAGAGTTTCCTCCAGCCCAGTGCCAAAAGCAGCTGTCAGACCATGTTGCTGGGTTTATTCTGCTAACCTCCAGAACAAAAAATGAAAAAAACCCTCCTCTGAAGTTGAAAAAGATGGGCTGAAAATGAGTTTAAAGCTTTCATGCAAGCACCAGATCCGTCCCCACCTCTGTCTCTTCACCCTTTTACCCCAGTGAAGTGACTTTTATCTGTATCTCTTGGGGAACATCCCCCCCGTGAGGTAAGGAAGGGCTGGAGGCTGAGAACCCCACGGGGCACCCCCAGGAGACCTTGGTCTTTCCTTTCCGGACGCTGCCACCTTCCCGGACCCCAGCAATGCAGCGGCTTGGCTCAGGGGGATCGGACTTACACCAGGTCGTGGAAGCTGTTGATGTAGGCAGTGAAATAGGGTGCAAAGACGGGGCTGTCCTGGGCAGTGCTCCACGCCACAAACTCCTCCCCGAACCTGCAGGAGAAGACACGCAGGTAACGCTAACGGCGGGGGGACTGAGGATGGCTCATCTTCTGTGTACACCGCGATGTCAAGGAGACACCAGTGGCTGGCCCAACCTGTCCCCTCTGTATGCAGACATGTTTTTTCCAGCTGTCGTAACATGCATGTGCATTGGAGGGGAATAGATGGCAGATAATTATGGGTTTAGGGTGTGCTTGCCTGAGCGGGTACGCAGCGCTTTTGGAGAGATGCCAGCGATCTCAGCACGGCAAATCTCTGACTTTTCCTCAGGCTGAGGGATTAATTGTGGCCATAGTACTCAGGCTTATCAGTCTGGTCCTTCATTTCTCTGGCTTTTGGGGCAATATAATATGTGCCCTCTTAAGCACACAAGGAAAGGATTTACCTCAGGGCTGATTTTACAACAGAAGGTGAATAGGAACAGGGCAGCACACCTACATTTCCCCCCCGTAACCTCAGCATGGTGTGTTAGGTATCTATTTTGATGTAGCGCAGCTTTTATGGTTTTGACAGCTGTTTTACAGCCAGGTCCACACTGCTGGCAGGAGGCTGCGTGCTCAGGCAGGCTTTGCCTGGTGGTCCCATTCTTTGTCAGGGTAAAGGAACCTGCTCGGGCCGGCCTCAGCCGCTTGCATCTTGGGTTTGTTTAAGAAAAAGCTTAAGTTTCAGTGACCCTTTCATCTGTGACCCCTTGCTGCCCCAGCTTGCATTTTACACCAATTTTGTTTAAAAAAAAAGGAAAAAAAGAAAAAGTAATTAAAAAAGAGAACAAAGAAAAAAGAAAAAAGAGAAAAAAAAGAAAAAAGGGAAAAAAAGGGGGGGGGAGAAGAAAGAATGGAACATCAGTACTGCATTTCTCCTCAAAAACCCGGGCAGACTTCAAAGCCAAATAGCTGGTTCGAACTACCCTGCTCGCTCAGGGTATGGGAGACAAGTGTAGATCGCTGGGCTATTAGAGATGAGGGTTTAAAAGGGAAAGCGTTGCCTTTAGCGCACTTTGGACACCTGCCATGCCCCGGGTTCACGATCTGAGAAAGCAGCACTTGGGCTCCCCACCCTCATTCCTGCAAAACATCTATTAGCAAACTCCACACTCAGCGCCTGCCGGAGGTGGGAAACTTCAAAGGTTAATGAGAAATTATTTTTAGTCTCGCTCAGAGTTGATTCATGCTGAATGGCCTTTCTCCTCTGCGGATTGCTGCTCTGGCGAGCAGCCGCAATCCCCCGAAACACAGCCACGCCGGTGGGGAGGGACAGTGCCTCGCTGTGCCGGGACCCTCTGTGAGCCAAAAACCTTCCCTGGAGCATCTCCAAAGCATGTCGCAGGGAGAATGTCTGAGGCCATAACTCAGGGACTACCAAGCAGAAAAACATTATTTCAGCAAAGGGGCAGGGTCCTGTGTCCTTCAGACACTAGATAAATTTTAAAAAGATTCAGAAGCTCAGGAAGCCCAGCTATATGTCTTGCCTGGGTGTAACAGAGAGGGCCCCATCAGCCATTTCTATGCCCATAGCCATGGGATGCAGGAGAAAACCCTCTCGGCAGGACTCACCCCGGGAGACCTAGATGATGTTTTGGGCAAGCACGCTCTGGGTCTGGGGCTCCATAACTGCTGCTTGCTCGTGGCTGTAGCTGCAAGCGATCAGCATCCAATGCCACAAAGGTCCCGGATGGATGGGACCACACTGGTGCCATCCCTTTCCAGCCAGCAGCTCCTTCCTGGAGCTCTAACCTCAGATTTTGGGACTCGCAAGAGTCCCATCTGGGTCTGTTTATGATTCCCTCCAAGTTGTTTTGCTGTTTGCTCATTATTGGGCTCATTGTGATCTCTAATTCTCCCAGGAGCAGGCCCGTGCCTGCTCAGTGCCAGCGTCTGGCCCAGCACGCAGACCTTTTCCCTGCTATTTTACCAATGTGGGACTCATTTGGAAGGAATGTGCTGCCCGGAGCGGCAATGACCTTGGTATGAATTCATGCAGCTCTGCCAGGCACAGCTCAAGCGTTTTTGTTCCCAGACTTCTGCTGATCGCTCCAGATATCTTCATGTGCTCCCCGATGATCTAGAAAAGGGCACAAAAAACCACCAGTGAATAGGACAAGCACGGGAGAAACATCCTTTGCAAAGATCTCGTGCAGCTTTGGTTAATAAAAGTGACTCGCCTAGCAGAGGGGGAAGCAGGCGACTTGTTGCCAGGCGGTTTTCACTATTCTCTGGCAGTTTTAAAAATAATAATCCAGAATGGGCCAAGAGGCACAAACTGATTTGTGGCATAATCATTCATCCATAATGGTCCTGTGTCCTTCTGCTGTCTGAGCGTGAACTAGACACGGTGTGGACTGGAGCCCCGAGCTGCCCTGGTGCTGTCTTCCTCTTTTGGGGGGATTTGCAGGAGGGATCAATCCCCAACCCAATGCCCAAGGGGAGCTGAGCTGTCCTCGTGTCCCCATGCTGAGGGTGGTTATAAGCACTGTTCCCGGGGGCCCGCACAAGCCCCCTCCTCAGGAGTGATACCCGGGCCGCACGGAGGGTCGGGCATCACCCCAAAATCTTGCTTGCACTGGGGCTCCTCCCTAATTCCCATTCCCTCAGCCCTGGCTGCCTCTCCGGAGTGAGGCAGGCTGCAGTCCCGCGCTGGCGCTTCCGGAGGCATCCTACCCATCTGCTAATCCGATTCAGACCTGCCTTCCCGGTGATCACACAACGTGCAATATTCCTCTATGGAAAATGAGTCACGGCAGCAGGCAAAACTTTGATTTTCTTTCTTTCTCTCTCCCTCTCTTTTTTTTGGTATTATTTAATTGAAATGACTCAACCCTTTGAGTGAGGAGAATGAATCCAAACCCCTCCTGGATTCATTACCCTGTAGTCCCTAAAGCTAGTAGGAGCTTTTGTTTTTTGTACCGTTTAAATTGGAGTGGCTGTCACTGCCTACGGCCTTTCTGTGGCTGCCGCAGCCCCGGCACAAAGTCACTCTTTCAGCCAAGGGGTTTTTCTAACAAACCTTTTCTTTCTGCCTTTTTTCCCTTTCTCTTTCTTCTTTCTAATCAAAGAGATTTAAGGACTTTAAAATCAGTTGCCTATTATGTTGCTGACACAATTGACAGCAGGTTTAATTTGCAGCTAGAAGGCAAGCGGGAGAGCTAAAAGTTGTAATAAACGGCATTTTCTGCTCTAATGTATTCTGCCAGTGCGTGACTAACATAAATTATCGCAGGAGGCGGTACCTCCACCCCAGAAGGTAACAATCCCGTTTCCCTGGAGCCACAGAGCTCCCCACACTTTGCCCCAGCTAATTAAATACCGCTTGAATATCAAAGGAGAGCGAGGAGTGGTAGAGGTTTTCCTTCACTTCTGGATGAACTTCCTTCTCCCACTTCTCCGTGACCTCCAGTCTCAGGATGTTTCCAAAATAGCTTTTGATTTTCCCCTGAATGTTAAACATAGGAAGGAAACATGCAGCTCAGGATAACAAAGAAAGCATGAGTAAAGCGGGCTCGTGGCGTTTTGCTCTGTCGGCACGTGTGTAAGGCTCACGTGTGTGGTGTGGAAAGGTAAGCAGAGACAAAGGTCTTGCTCCAGACCCTTTCAGTCTACACAGGATCTTGGGAAAAATCAGGAGCTGTGCTGTGTGGGGGCAAGGTACTCCCAAAGCAAGGGACAATCATTCTCCTGGCAGGGAAATACTGTGTCAGCTGTTTGACTGCTTGATTGCAAAGTCCTCCAGTACGTGCAATGCACAAGGTCAGGATTAAAGATCAAACTGGTCCTCTCTGGTGGTACAGCCACTTGTGTAAGTGGCAGCACTGTTCAGTCCTGGCTGATAAATCAATCTTGTTGCCAGTAAAACAAAATGGTCCTTCACTGGCATGATGGAACAATACTGATTTTATTCAGCTGGGTACCTTGAACTCACCTTCAGCAGTACCCTGTTTCAGAAAGGTTTGCAAGAAAATGTCTGGGCTCACCAAAGACCCAGGAAAGCACGTAGTCTTACACAGGGTCCCAGCCAAGGACAGCAGAAAGACAACTGCAGAAGGGGCTTCCTAGGAGGAGCTGAACCATGGGGAGGTCCTCTGTTGGGGACAAGCCCAAAGTTGTCTGGCTATAGCAAACCTCAGATGTGCTGGAGGAGCTCACACACTGTGAAAGTAGCAGCTAAAATGTCTTTACACCTAACTTTGCAATGTGTTCAATCTGATGAAGCCCAGATATGACCTTTTGGTATGCCTCTGCCATACTGTACGGGTCTGGTACAGTCCTTTTGGCTCTGTGATCATCCAGGTTCAAGCTCATGGCCTGCTTCGGTCCCAGAATTGGCGTTCAGGATTTTTTGCTTTTGATTAAAGGCCATTCTGTGTGGTGCTGGCAGGACTCAACACCTGGTGGGGCTAGGAACCATGATGCAGCCATCCGAGACCTCTGCCCGGGAGGCTGGGGCTCCCACACCCTCCCTGGGGGGCACGTGGGGGCAAGGTCAAAACTCTTACCTTTGCCAAAGTGATGTAGTCGTTCTTCAGTTTATCCCAATCAGCTGGGGCTAACAGCAGGGACAGGTTTTCTGTCTTAACTTCTGGTTTGAGATCAGGGTGACCCAGAAAGAGTTCACTGGAAAGATTCAAACGAACAAATTATGTTGCCTCAGAGTGTGAGTAAACTGATGGAATATTCATGTGGCATGAGCTACATAATTATTAAGCTGTGAGAAATATACTTAAAGTTTAAATTGCGATGCTTGTTTTCAAGCTTTAACAAGAAAATCTTTTCTCGCTATTCAAAATCCTAATTATTCAAAATCAAAATGATCTAAGGTTCCAGCCCACCTTAGAAATCATGAGACTTCTGAGTTGTTTGGACATGAAAAGTGCTATGAGAATTTACTTTTTTAAATAAACAACCTGAAGCTGATTCATTTGACTACAAGCCTGTGAAATGCCTTTCAGGGTAATTCCTGTAGCAGCGTGCTGCTTTGGAGTTAGCTGATCTCCCCGGCTCCTCTCCGGTGTCACATCACAGCTTATGTCAGCCTGTTATTTCTCCCTGTGCATTATGCCTAGCAAGGGGAGGTGGCAGAGCAGGTCCTGCTCTGTGCAGGGCAGCCTCTGGAAGGCACTCCTATGCTTGGGACACGGGCCATCGCCGCACAGCGGTTCCTCCACAGATGGAAGCGGTGGGTGGACGTGCAGCTACGGAGTCTGACTCCAAAGTGCGCTCAGCTGAGACATGACTTTACCACTCACTTTCCCCTGGATTGCCGTGTAATCAGGCCAGCTGATTAGCGGGGAGGCAGGGAAAGGGAAGGAGCGCTCGTGTTTCTCCCTCCGGGGTGAGAAACCCGTTATTAGCATGTACAATTGAATGTGCTACCCCTGCAATCTGCCACGCACCGTGGAGGCATTGCATCTTTCAGGGTGATGAAGGTAGAGAGGAGAAAGAAGAAAATATTCATGCACTTGAACAAGTTGCAAGCAGTCACCTGGTTAGCAAGGAACACAGCTGCAATGTCCTGCACACAGCCTGTTCAACCACCGAAAAGGGTTCCCATCACCAACCCAGCGCCGAGCACATGGTTAGGTTTGGATGCAAGTGAAGATTGTACTGTACAAGGTCAGGCTGGTGCAGGGTGACTGCTCAGCAGAAAAAAAGCTCAGCCTGCTGATAGTGTCCTGCAGTCAGTGTTCCTGCAGTCATGGTTCAGATTTCCCGGGGAGGTACATCTGCACATGTGGAGCATTGCACAACCCAGCTGCTGCAGGAGTCTGCTGCTCATTTAAAAGGACACCACAGATCTAAATACAAACTCTCCACCATGACTGAAAGGACTGGCTCAAATGTATACTTGAGGAGCTTATTCCCCTCTCTTTCTTTTTTTCCATTTGAATTGTAATTGTAGGATCGATAATGAGTTTGGGTCAGACAATTTCTTCTTTTTTGGGATGGGTCCCAAGAGGGGATGAAGTTCTTTTAGAGTGGGAAAATCAAATGGAAACAGCCCAACCCAGCAAGGTGATTGCAAGAAGTACTCGAAATGGCTGCAAGCTCTCAATAAGCCCTTTCACAGCAAGTTAGAGGAATATGATGGGGGCACTTTGGTGCAGAACCTGGCTGCTGAAGCTCATTTCTTCCCCCCTCTCCGGCAATGCTGGGGTGCAGTACAGTCCCCAGGGGTTGGGGACATGCAGGAATTTCCCTCCAGATGAGATCAGCAGGGACACGTGAGGGAGAGGGGCAATGGGTGGGAGTGTCATTCCCATAGTGGTCCTGCCATAACACTGGTCAGCCAGTGCCATGATGCTGAGGGAGTTACACACTAGTCATCATGGTCACCACACTGTAAATGGGGTTTTAGGAGCAACTAGGCAAATTCACAGATTAAATCTATTGAGGGCTGTTCAAAACAAAGACCATCTGCGGTCCAAATGTCCCTGAGCCGAAGGCTACCCCAGGCTAGGAGTGCTCTGGGCAAGTGTCACTGCTGTTTGCCCTGCTCCACCACTGCCCCCTCCCTGTCCATTTTTGCCCACTGTTTGACTCAGTGTTTATACTCCTGCCTTCACTCCCTTTTTTGTTTGTTTGAAGGGCGTCAATTGGTTTGCGTTTGTCCCATCCTTGGGCATCTGGTTCAGGCGGTTCCTGGAGACCACCTACTGGGCAGACATGATTTTGCTTTGACATGGCTGTTCTTATGTGCTTATTAGCAGACCCATCTCCTGTGGATGTTGTCTCTCTCCTCCTTCCCACCCCACTGTGTATTTCTGTTGGGTTTTAGTATGGGACCTCTTTGGGGCTGGGATGATGGGCTGTGATCTAGCCCAATGAACAACGGAGGGGACACAATGCCTGGACCTTCTACAGGTGCCTATCTTAGATGTCTCTTTTGGCTGTAAAAGGAGGCAACGTCCAGCAGCACAGTTTTTGCTGTTGTGAAGAATTCCTGCCTTTACTCGCACACACACAGGGTGCCCTGAGGATAGTGTTTGATATGTCTATGCAGCTCCTAGAATATTTTAGTCACCCCTGAATTACAGGGAGCTTTAAGAGATCCTAAAAAACATGGACCTCCCATTCAACTAGTGGACATGTCTGAGCCAGAACTTTTGTGTTGATGTGGCTAATTCCACACGATTACGTCTTGGCATCTCCTCGAGACGACTCTGACCCCTGAACATGGGGGGTAACGTGGCCTGCTTCCAAATGCACCACAGTTTTAATTAAACAGGAAGAAGGCAGGGCTCCGCCACAGGACCCTCCCTCTGCCTGGAAAAGTCACCGAGCAGCTGCTGGACCTTGCAAGGTATTTGCAGAAAGGGAGCAGGTTTATCAGAGCTGCAAGGAGGAGCTTTCTGGCATGTGAGAACAGCAAGTGGGAGAGGGAGGGGAAAACGAAGTAATTTAGATCTGTGGAAAGCAGCAAGTGTTTTATCCACAAACTTTTGTCCCCACCTATTAATAGATTAGCTATCTGGCTCTGCTGTAGAAATGACTGTGTCTCTTTGTTTGCTCAGGAAACTGAAAATAGCTCGGTGCTTTTGAAGTACCCTGCGGCCCTGCCGCTCTCCGGAGGAGGCTGAAGCAGTGTGGCAAGTGCAGCATCTTACCTGCGGTAGATGTTGGCCACCCAGTCGAGCAAGGTGTAGAGCTCGTTGAATTCCAGCGGTCTCTGGGAAAGATCTTGCAAGTGTGAGGCAACGGCATTGTGAAAAGCCTCCACATACATATCACACACCTGGTACTCCTCTGGATAGCACTTTTTTACTGATAACTTGATTTTCAGTAAGTCTTCGCTCAGCTGTTTCTGGAGGAAACCTAAGTGGAGATCAAGCCGAAAACTCTCTTCTTCCTTCGATGCCATGGGTACTCTCTGGACTCTCTTTCTAGCGCTCTCATTGATAGCTTCCCTCCACTCCTCCCTCCACTTTCTGGGTGTGCCGAGCAAGTCCGACCCAGGACCAGTAGCGTTGCCTGTGTTAGGATGAGCTGCTTCTTCATGGGCAATTAAAGTCACCAGGGAGTTCAGCATGGTATCCTCTACAGTGGGCTGCTCCAGTGTTCCCACCACGATGGACTGGATCATGTTCGTGATGGAGTTATAAAGCAAATCCACATCCTTGGACTTCCTCACAAACTCCTGGGGGTTATCTTTGTATTTCTCAGCATCTCGTTCAGCTATAGTCTCATCTTCCAAGTACTTGATACTTGCAAATGCTTCCAAAAGCTGCCTTTTCTGAATAAGTTCATTGATTTCCATTACTGCAGAAAGAAGGGGGGAAGGGGTTGAGACAAAGTTGGCGTTAGGTGATTGACAGGTTGGTAACAGGACAAGGTGCCCCACAGGGAGGCTTGCAGGGCTGTTCTGAGTAGCCAGGTCCCAGCAGTGCCCCTGAGACTGACCCCCCCGATCTCTCCAGCTCCTGTTTGACACAGGAGAGGAAAGCAGTGGAAATGCAATCACTGCAAATTGGGCCATACCTCTAAACTGCTGGTTTCAGAGGTAGGAAATATCCAAAAAACTGATTATAGCCCTGCAGTAAAACCTCAAGCAATGGCTAAGGAGGCTGCACAGAGCGGCACTGCGGTCTCAGGCTGCATAAAACCACCCCTGGCTCTGCCGTTCTGTTAGTGTGGAGCTGAAGTGGGACTGGCAGTGGGAACAGTTTGTGATACACCCTCCCAGCAGGATTTTCTTTAGCAGGGATGCCCTTGTTTCCCAGCATACCAGTGTGCTCAGCACAGCTCTGCTGCTGCATTGGCCACAGCATCTCTGGCTGAAAGGGCGTTTCAGTGTGTTGCCCGAGAAGGCAGGGAGGGTGCCCAGGGGTCCAGCTGGAGGGGTGGGAGGGAGCACAGAGGGACAGACCCCCTTGGGTCCTCTGAGCTCCCGGGCCAGACATCTCACTAGACAGTCATGTCTGCCCCCAGCCTACCCACCAGCATGTCCTCCAGAGATACCAAGGCCATGGAGGAGCAGGATACTGTCTTGGGGATGCTCCTGATACATTTTTGGGAACATTCCCTGTTCAGATGTAACCCTGGGCAAACCCCGGGCTCCCCTCCTGTCCCGATTTTGTGAATTGTCAAGTTTTCCTAAGACGCTTTCCCAACTAATGTCATGGCCAAACTGGCTCCTGCATTTCTGAGGACTGAGCAAAATGCTAACGCAAACTGCAGGGATTGTCGCTGGTGATTTGCATTATGAGGACTCCTTGAGATGCAGGGACTGAGGTAGCAAGCCAGACACTGGCCCATCCATGGCTGGCCACCCTTTCCAGCCTGTGCCTACCACAGCAAATGGCCTCTGAAAGATGCCTCTTACCTGTTCCAGACATTTAAGAGATGTTCTGTGAATGCTTGTGGTCCTCAGCCTCCTCTCAACCAAAAAGAGGGACTCCTGGAGGACCAGAAGCCACAGCTTCTCAGCTCTTTATTGCAATCTGCAGTAACCCTTTGGCTGGGGAGTGAGGAGGCTCTCTGGGATGGTGGTCCCAGGGTCCCAGCAGAAGGAAATGGAGAAACACCAAAGCGCGCCAGGTACGTGAAGTTCACCCGCCTGGGGTGGTTCAGGGTTGGGTGTCCTGGCTGTTCACCACCTGTATATAAACCTACAGTCAGATGCCAAGCACTGCCTCTCACCAGTGACATTTGTTTTCCAAGCAGTGAGCACTGCTGTCCCTGGATGGTTTGGGGAGGTGTGTGCATTGGAGGGGGATCCAAACCTGTGGATGTTTTCTCCTGGTGTTCAGGTCTCACACGGGTTTCCCCCACCTCCTTTGATTTTTGGACCAACTACCAGTACTGGCTGGTGTTGGCTGATGCTGGGGGAGAAGTTACCAAATACTGTTACCCCCAAAGTGGCTGAGGTCTACTGAGTTTCCCATTTATTTTTCAAAGCCTTGCTGGTGCAAGAACCACTTCCTATTTGCCAGTAATATAAGAAGTATTTGCCATGTATTGAGGAGATCCAAGAGCATTGTTAGCTTTTGAGAGGCCCCAGAAAGCTCTCACCATCTCCAGCATCATAACAGGTGCTCTGAACGGGAGATCCCACTGTGATACTGGGCATAAGGCAAATATCAAAGAGGAGAAGGGAAAGGGTATTATTTAGGCATGTGTGGCCACTGCTTCTGGGACATACACATATAAAATTATACGGAAAAATTGGAGACCACTCAAAGAAGATATGAAGGACTGGTTCATAGCCCATAATTTATGCCCCTGGGCTTGTCTGCACACAGATTTTATACTATATGCACCAAATAATCTGTGCAGCGTAAGAGTATCTGTATGAAGACAGAAATACACCAAATAACCCAACTATTGATGCAGCATAAAATGCATAGAGCTTTGAGTGCCTATATGGAGCTACAGTTGCTTCTGCACTCAGAGGGGAGGGAGATTGTGCCAATTAACTTAGTCTCTTCTAGATAAATTAATATAAAACCTGTGTTTGCACAAGTGCTTGCAGTGAGAGACTACAGGAATACATTCTGTTCTGTGTATCAAAGTGAGAAAACACCATTTAATCACCATCTAGGATAATTATTCAGGGAGGTGATATTGGGTGCTAAATGGATCTTTAATTTAGCAATACAAGATCAGCCAGCTGGTAGTTGAAGGAAGACAATTGAAAGGCAATTAACCATTATGCAGCTTAATGGTGTGCATGGTGGAGTCTCCACCACTTGCCATATTTATCTCAGGATGGGATGTGTTTCTGACAGAGCTTCTCTAGTCTAGGCCAATCAAATTATTGGGCACAGGATGGGCCTTCTTCGTGCAATTCCTCCACTTGTTTATTGCAGGAGATGAAAAGGGCTTATGGTAACATTTCCTGTCGCTCCTCATCTATGACCCCTTGAGAACAGACTAGCAAAGTTTATCAGATGGGCTCAGATCCAGCTTACCAACCTCACAATGTATCAGTGCAAAGCAGTAAATAACTTCATGGCGCAGCAGACCACGTTATAGCAGTGAGACAATGTCAGCCCTTCTATCTAATCCCCATGACATCCTATGCAGTAGACCAAGAATTTCTTTCCAGAAATTTAGGCTGAGGAAAAGTCAAGCCATTCAAGGTTGACCCACCTCAGTCTATCTCCTGGTGGATGCATTGTAGTACCTCTGCCTTGAGAAGGTAGAGGAGAATGGTGCTCAAACCAAGATCAAAGTCATTGCAGTCTGCCCACATTTGGGGAAAGGTGAGAGCTATGCTGAAGGTAGTTATTATAATTTGACCTATCTATATAATGCCGACAAAATGCATAAGAATAACCAGCCTGGGGAAACCAAACCAAACAAATACTCGCAGCACTTCTGTTGTGAGAAGAATCAATGGAAAGTCAGTGTAAGAGAGTAAAAGCATCTGCAGAGGTCCCTTTGCAAGGCAGTCTCTAAGATTAGGAACCAAGGTGGAGGTGCTGAAGCAGATCACATCCAAACCATCTTATTTCCCCTTCAAGGTCTTGCAGCAACCTACAGGGTACAATCCGGAGACCATCAGTCTGAGAGCTGAAGAGCAGAAATTGTCCAAAAGTGCAATGCAGACAGTAGCGTAGGGCTAGCCCACATTGCACTTCTAGATACTGTCAGACCAGCAGTTCCCAAACTGTGTTCAGCAGGTTGGTGACTGATATGTATGATGCGTGATATGTCTGCTGATATGCGAGCCAACAGGTTGATGTGTTGATTGTAAGTAGGTTGTGGATATGGTTAAACTAATGTAGTGGAGGCCACAGAGCAGCCTGTTCCTGTACCTGACTGGGCCAGGTAACACCCCAACAAGTTTGTGCAAGGGGTGACAGTTGTCTGTGCCCTGTAATAGGGTGCCTGGTTCTTTAGCATCTCTGTTGGGCCTAAGACTTGCAAAGTGTAAATCACTTGAAGGTTACATATATCCTGCCAAGCAAATTACAGGGGTGGTTTTGCGTCTTACCTGAAAGAGGTTTTCCTTGAATGGGCTCTGCTGTGATCTTCTCACTAATCTCCTCCACGCCATTACAGATTGTGGTTTTGTTCTCCTCGTAGCTCTTGGAGAATCGAAAAGAAAGTCGTTTTCCTTTCCAAGTACCGGTACCTTCCTTTGCTTTCTCTTTGTTAAGACTTCGTTTTGATTTCCGGATGCTTAACATTGTTTTAATACCTCTTTCAAAGAACCCGCTGTCCCCACTATGCAAAGTTGGGCTGCTCAGTTCAGAAGCAACCTCCATCTTTTCCTCCCCTGCGCTGTTCGTCGGAGAGGCTGGTTCTGAGGTTATGCTCCTTGGGCCTAACTCTGTATTTCTGTTCATCTTGTTGCTTTTCAACAACGGGTTTTCCAAACAGGTTGACGGTAATCACTGAAATGCACAAAACAGCAGAATTAGATGAGAGGTTCATAACAGGGTATTACTGTGTCTCCAAAGTCAGTCCTGGACTGAAAATCCGGCCCATCCCTTTCCTGTGCTTAATCCAAGGACAGAGCAAGTTGTTCTAGCCTGTAGCTACTGAAACGATCTCTACCTACAGACACCAGGTGCTGGCCTGCTTTTAGCTCTGGAAGGCTCTACTTAACTCCTTAAATCAGGCAAGTAGCAGCTATTTCTCCAGCGCCAAGGAATCACTAAACGTCAGAGGTGCTGAAATCTGTGTAAACGTACTATTTTGGTTGGTAACAAGGTATGTTTTTACTTTCCATTATTCTAGGTGGATTTCCAACCATGTGGGAGTCATAACCCTTCATGAGTCTCACTGAGGTATTGCCACTTTCTGATGTGGATATGGCAACTTTGGGTCATGCTGCTGCTTCTGCCCTGCTCGAGCCCTGATCTGCCACTGCTGGAAGATGGCCCAGGGTGAGCGGTCCCCGACGGCGAGCGGCTGAGCTCTGCTCTAGCCCCTTCCATCCAAACCCACAGCAATCTCCGCACTCTGAATCGTCATGGTTACAGCGCAGGAGGCTGTACAAGGCAGTAAAGGTTCTCATCACTCATCCTGCCTCAGAGAACTGCATCCTGGCATGCTGAGAATGGGTATCTCGAGGGCCAAGCAAGCCCCTGCATGAGCTGCAGGGGATGCTGCAGGAGATTTCAGATTTCAACAGAAGTGCTCCTGTCAGTGCTCCTGGGCTGTAGTCACATCCCCTGCACTTGCTCAGCTCCTGCCCTGCTGCAGACAGATTGGCTCCCCTCTGCTCACTCTGAGGGCTGGCCCAGGTGCTTGGGAAGGGGGCAGAGGGAGAGGTTTTGCCTTCCTTTCCCTCCCTTGCAAAGGGCTCTCACGAGGTCACCAGCTAACACAGCCCGCTCACGGGGACGTTGTGCGCTGCAGAGCTCTGAGGATGGAAAATGCTGCGTTGCTCCACAGCAGGCTCAAGGCAGCTCAGCGATCAGTTTAAATCATTAGAAACAGCTATTGCTTGAGGTCACCCAGGGACTGCCTGTCTCAGGCCTGTCCAGCTCACAGGAGCCAGAGATTGAAATACGGTTATAGTGAACAGACATACTGGGACTCTGGAAATACATCTCAGCCTTCCTCGATCTGAGTTTGGCCAGATTTTCGCTCCCTTGTGCATGGTTATTTCACAGGTTATAAACTGCAGGGACTGTGCCTTCCCGTGGGTTTGCTGAACTCACACAGCGGGGCTCAGACCCTGCGTCACACCCTCTCAGGGGGAATATTTAATCACTCATTGCCTTGCTCAGGAGCTCACCCCATCACAGCCCATACAGAGGGGGGGAGGGAGAGGAGGGCACCCCATTTTCCAGGGATTTCAGTAGGAAGGGGACTGAGTCCATAGCTCAAACCCTGCATGGGGGGGTCTGTGGCCAGAGCGGAGCAGCAGCAGCAATTGAAGAGGTGAGCTGTGCGGCGGAGTGAAAGACAGGGCAGGAAGACCATAAGATGTCAAGGGAAGAGAAGGGATACACACCCCGGTACCGACCGAACTGATCCTCTCCGCAGCAAGCTGGGATAACACAGGCGTGATCCACAGAAACTGAGAGTAGCTCCGTGCCACAGGAAATCCCGGGGAGATGCAGTGGTGGGTGGGCAGCTCTGCAGGGCAGAGGTCCAGGTGAGCTCGCCCACCTCAGCTGACTGGAGCACCGTCCCACACTCCTGTCCTGGCCGAGGGGCTCCCTCTGGGCATGGTGCCGCTCTCCATCCTCCTTTGCCCTCTGGAAAAGGGTGGTTGGAAATGGAAAAAAAAGGCCTGTCCCCACCTGCCCAAGACCTCCAGCACCTTCGCCTGTTTGCTTCCGTGGAGAGACTCCGGCACTGTTTCACTTTCATTATGTCCGGGCATTTAAAGGAAGGAAAGAGGTGGGGGAGGAATGCTGAACGAGCTCCAAGCATTCAAGGTTAATTATTTACCCTACAGATGGAGATGGAGGTGAGACCAGGGGCTTGACAACAGGGTGATCTGCTGGGCTGAGCTGGCCCGGGGCAGCCAGGGGGGAGAAGGATTTCGGCACCTGGTCCTGCCCTGGCGGGGCAAAGCCCCACAGTGTCTGGGTGTGGGGGTTCAAAAGCAGCCCCAGAGCTGCTGACTGGGAACGGCTGAATTTCACCCCCTTCTGCCCCATTTCTGGAGGTCACGGGTGGCTCGGTCCCAGTAATGATTGCCAGGTGTGGGTGAGGGATGGGGAGGGCCGTGTCCCACGGTTATACATTTATATATTCAGCTAACTGCTCCTCATTTTGCCCTGAGGGCACTTGTTTCCATGGGGACGCTTGCCCTGGATCCTTCCATCCCCAGAGCATTTGGGCACCTCAGAGGGAACTCAAAGCAAAGGAGCAAAAAAGGGGTCTGGAAGGTTTAAATGACATTAAACACAGTCACTTGGCTTGTCACTGAGTGGTGTAAGTGATTTAAGCCTGGGAACCCTGCGGTGCCCAGATGGAGGTGAGCCAGGCTGTCTGGCTGGGCACACCGGGAAGTCCCAGGTGGCCGAGTCCCCAGTGTAAAGCAAGAGGGGTAAATCAGGAGGTGCCACTGTGCCATGGGCAACGTGCGCTTCTTTGCTTTAGGGGCCTGCCAGCATGTCGCCAGTCAATGTGATAGGGGAGATCAGAGGGTTTAGTGAGGGGTTGATGCAATAAAATGAAGTCCTGTGGCATTTGGACTTTGTGCCGTGCAAAGGGGAACAGAGGGGTTCATAACTTCCCTAAGGCTGGGAGAGGCTGTCTCCAGGGGATGGAAGGTGTGTGTGTGTGGGAATAATTGTGATCAATGAAACAGGGAAGAGTGGCAGCGCAGACTGGTGAGAAGATGCCCTGATGGCGAGACGGGACTGGGCAGAGCATCATTTGGGGCTGCCCTGTGGTGCAGGGGGAGTCCTGCCTGAAGCCTCCCCCAGCCAGGTGGCCCAGAACTAAGCTTTTTGTCCTTGGGCTCTTTAAAGCCATGTTTAAGCCGGAGACCGCCCTGCCATGCTGGGGAAAACTGCAACGGGTAACGCTTCTGCCACTCTGGCAGGGTGACAACTGGGACAAAGGGAGGGAGCTATTTACTCAGGCACATGCTGAGGCATGGAAAGCCCCTTCGGACACAAAGCCTAACTATACCTTCTTCCATCCTGGTTGGTAATTGCCTCCTCCGACAGGCATTTACGGGGTGTTGGTTTGTACAGACAGGCTTGCTACGGCTGGGGTGCAGCCAGAGCAAGGCAGCAGGTCTGACGTGGATGGGGTCTGATCTGGACCTCCCTGGGAGCTGTCAACTGCCTCAAAACACAGCTAGCACCAGGGCCTGCTGGGATGCTAATAAACACAACCCTGGGGGAGCTCTGCACCCTACAGTTTAGGTCACCTCTCTCCCCGCAGCTCTTTCCAGTGCTCTCTCTCAGCACCAGCTCTCAAGGAGCACGCCTGCTCCTGGAAATGCCATCAGGGCAATGCCAATTCCGGGAGTCTGGCCCCAGAAGGTCATGAGAATTTAAAAATTTACTATGTTGTGCAGTTGTTTACTATTTTCCTTCAATTTTGCTAGAAGGTCATAACCCTCAAGCTAGCTGTGAGGGTTAATTTTCTTTAAAAAGGAGACCTAAGGGTCTCCTTACTCCAAGAGGGGGCTTCAAAGAAAAAAAACCACTGATTGTGGTGAAGTTCAATAAAATGGTGAAGCTGGGTGATGCTATAATACATCTATCCCTTCCTACTCCCTGTAGCCCCTGGAGAGAAAAGTCTTCAAGAAGTCCTGCTCCCTCACACGCCACCATTAACAGCCCTGCACTATCAGGTGTATGTTTTCTCAGCAGTACCACGGTGGAGCTGGTGAGTGTTCAGAGAACTTTGCACTAAAAAACTCATGGTCCTTAGTGCCATGGGCACCACATGGACACCACCCTGTACGCAGCAAGCCGTGGGGCACCCAAGCCAGCCCTGCCAGGCATCGCAGGCCCACGATGCTCCTCCATCCCTCCCAGCCACCAAGAAGGCACAGCCCTCTGATGCTGAACTCACAGCCATGCTCTTAAATAGAAGTGGATGAGTGAACTAGAGAGGAAAGCCAATCCTTGCAGTAGGTGGCCTCCAACTTTTTTTCCGCAGCAATGCTTCAGATTGTCTCCTGCTCAGCCTTTGCTAATCCACCCACTGACGCAGCGACAGCCATGCAGCATCCTGGCTGCGCCGTACGGTTGTTCACGTGGTGCTCCGTACGGTTGTTCAGCCCTGCCGTCAATGGGAACACATGTTCCTGAAAAGATCTGGCCATCTGGAGGAAGCATAGTGAAATTACCTTCCACGCAGCAGCACCAGCTTAATTGCCTTTTGGGTCTCCAGGCACAGTCGTGAGAACAGATTAATTACCGTCTGGGGGTTTGAATATCGATGCTTTCAGCCTGAACTAGCAGCAGGCTGGTGGACGAGGCTAAGCTTGGACCTTCCAACCAGGACAACTCAACCAGGGAGAAGAAAACAGAAAAGGAGGCAAAAATGGGTTGAGAAGTCACAAGTAAGAGAGAACCTAGCAAATCCAGGTGAAAGCACCAGTGCCTCAGAGCTGTGGTAAGGGATCTCGTGGCAAGTGGCTGCTGCAATCCAGTAGCCAATCTTTGCAAGCTACATTCAATGAGCAATTTGCAGCCTGGCTTTAATGGAAAACCAGACTTGTTCTCAGCTGCTTAGCTGTGTGACCTCAGCTCCTTTTTCTGGCTATACTTCATCATGCAGCAGTGTCAAAGTGTTTTCACTCTATCTTTTTAGGGTTAGCCCAATTATTGATCGATGCTAGTGGTGAGGAGTTGCTGACGTCCAGATGCCAGGCTGATGGGGATGCAGAGGTGCTGGGAGAGATCCAGGCATGAGG